AAGATATGAATGTTTTTTTGGGCTCAAACGAAAGAGCGGGTCGAGAAATGGCGTGCTAGGACCTCTAAAGATGGTTTTGAACCAGGGGAGACTCCTAGACCCCAATGTTCTATAAGGACTCCTAGACCCCATTGTTCTCCTAGACAATGATGTCACAACTCTGCTTTTCAATTGAAAACAGATATCATCTTTAGAGACATTTGTCATGTTTAGAGGCTCTAGCACGCCATTTCTCGACCCGCTCTTTCATTTGAGCCCAAAAAAACATTCATATCTTGTCTGACATCGCTGCTACAAACTCGGGTCTACAACTCGGGCTTTCAATTGAAGCCCCGAGTTGAAGACCTGAGTTTGTAGCAAAGGTGTCAGACGCCTTTTTTTTCAGGGGTGATGTTTCAAAAATTTATTTAAAAAAAAGTACTAACTAGCAAATGTTTTTTATTAGCTCGCAATTTTCTTCAAAACTACTTCAATGAGGAAAAAAATAAAAATTTGGAATATCTATACATGAGGGGCTAATTGATCGGATCTGAGTGAGTCCCTGTCGACCATTCCAGCGACAGTGTTGCTACATTTACTGCCAAACTTAAAATGCACGCGCAGCGGTAAGCGCCAACGTGGCAACACGGTGCTCGGTTTAACCCGGCAGCGGTACGCTAACTGTGCGACGGATTAAGGCTGGCGGCCGCGCGCGAGTGATTGAGGGTTAATAAAAATTAATTTTTATCTTACAAAAAAAGGTTTAGCGCGCATTTGAACTGTAAATAATTTTTATAGCCGACAAATATTGTTTCCTCAACGTCAACGCTTGCGGTCACTTCTTGGGTACCTATAGTATCGAAAATTATAGCTGGAAGGGTAACAAAAACATCGACATTTCATTTTTTGTTGAGGCCACGATTTTTAAAAAATACGAACAATGCCCAATGAGGCAGCAAATTCAGCTATTTCCCTCATATTTTTAAATTTTTTTTATCATTTAAACTCTTCACAAATCGGCGACGGTGGCCGAAGTGGTTAAATCGCTCGGCCGGACGGCGGGACGCGTGCTTGGGGCAATTGGGATTTTTAATCTTTCGGAAACCGTCGAAAGGAAGTCTAGACACCGAGAATCATCGGAGAAGTGTTAGGAAAACATTCTCCGATGAAACTCGGTCGATGGACGCCCGTGTCGACCAAAGTTTTCCATGGTTTCCCTTGGTCACCAGGAGAGTCTGTACGTGGGGTACAATGCGACACGGTTGGAGAGGAAGTCGGCCCATGAAACCGCAAATATGTAAAAAATCGAATAGGGTATATATGGTAAGGAAAAATAAAAATAAAAATAAACATAAACTTTTCACACGAAACATCTTGACCGATGTTTTTGAAGAAATAAACCACCTAGCAAAAAATTCAAGTGGTGCAAAGAATGGAAAAATGGTAAATCGAATCTACAATGAGTTGAAATCAAAATCCATTTTGCCGGAAGACGTATCGTCCATTACGTATTTTAAAATGAAATATGTTATCAAAAGAAAACAAATGCAAGAAGGCCCCGGGCGACAATGGGTTGCAAAATATGATATTAAAGAACTTGCTAATAGAGGCCATAGTTTAATTAATATAGTTGTATTCAATTAAGTAATAATAAATAATTAAGGATCAGATGTGCACGTGGAGCGTGCGTAAAATGTCATTTTACACACAGCGTGGTGAAAAAAACTATTTTCTTTACACAATCTGTTGGAAAGTCAATATGTAGAAAGCCAATAAAAAATTACGCCAAGTCCCTTCACATTAAATTTGAAATGGATTTTCACAATTTATTTGCACTTACTCTTAAATTTTCGAACCATTAAAATAAAAATGAACTGTAAAAAAAGTAAAAATTACGGAAGGTTGATATAAAAATACTCGGTGATACCGACGAATACTGAAGTAATGTAAATGCTGATTTTTATGGAGAAATGTACTGACTTATATGCAGGGTTGGGCACCTATCGATAACCGTAGTTTTTTACATGACATTGTAAAAGACCCGTAATTTACGTAATAAATGTAAGAAATGTAAAAAACCAGCCGAAGTTGACTTTTATTGTAAACTGTGAAGCTTCGCGAAGATTATACCTCGCGAGGGTGATAAAAGTCAACGAGATTCATACCTCGCCCGGCAAAACTAATTCAATTGTCTTTGATAGCTTTTTTGAACTCTTCAAAACAAAATAGTTCTTTTCAGGTCCAACTAGGCTTTTCCGGGGCTCCAAATAATAAAGTGGAGAATCCAATAAAGATCAATAAATAATGAGATTGACTTTCTCACAATGGAGATGACTTGTGACTTCGGTATTTTGCAACGTTTGATCCTCGTAAAATTTATTCTTTATGAGGTATAAGGCTCATGTTTTTGAGTTTCTTAAAATGCCGTAAGCCGTTTCACGTGAGGTAATACTACATTATGTCACCAGGCGATGAACGTATTTTCTGACGAATGTGGCTGTATAATCCGAGCCGAAAGCGAGGATTTGAATCACGAGTCAAAAAATTGTTTTATTGCCGTGTGGCGTACAATAATTTAGGTCTCTGGGCCCGGAAACCGCAATTTAAAAGAGGGAATCGACGTTAGAATCGCGGTTTTACGGTCCTAGGGACATGAAATGATATTTATGTCACACGGCGATAAAAGTATTATCTGGCGAATGTGATTATAATCCTCGCCTTCGGCTCGGATTATAAAGCGACATTCACCAGATAATACTTTTATCGCCTGATGACATAATATACTATTTATGCCCCAAGTACCGAGATCCGCGTTCTAACCGAACAAAGTGAAATTAAAATGCGCGGTTTATCTGTCCTCGGGACATAATATGCTGTTTTTTATCCAAAACCATATTTTTTATAGTTAACTTTAGTTTTATATATATATATATATATATATATATATATATATATATATAAAAAACGGTGTAATTTACCAACGTAATTTACACGCCCGATCCTGCTTATATGCTCATAGTCCGTAACAACTAAACGGGAAAATAAATGATCTCTAATTGGTCGAGAAAAATGTATGAGCATTTCCATTGGTTTGTGTATTTGAGGGGTAGAGTGGGTGAAATATAAAGTGGAAGGGGAAAGGGCGCCACAAAATTTGAGACGTGTCTGCGTCCGAGTGACTGTCATAAAATCGTAAACGACCCTTTTTCCTGGGTTTCTGGAAAAGGGACACAGTAAATAAATACTGAGAATTGTTTTATAGAAATTATCAGTTCAAACACGAGCCGAAGTGGAAAGTGCGGGCGCGATAACATGAACATAAACAATGATTCCATCCGAAAAACGAACTGGAAGCTCTTTATTGTCAGACGAAGCTATTCGTTCGGTCTCTGTGTGTCGGATTCAGTCTCCCACAGAAATCTGGAGTGCAAAAACGATCATTCATCGTCTGTCATTAAGGAACTTCCGCAGTAAGTATATGGGAGTAGAAGGAAATGGACTACAGAGCTGAAATTTCGAGAATATATTCTTTGAGTGATTACAAATATCCTCCCGAAGTCCCAAAACGCTGAACCACGTAGATTGTTGAGGGGAAAATATGAAAAATGTGTCATTAACACAAAGTCTTATGGCACTACGTTTTCAAAAATCACAAAAAAATAATCGACAATGGAGTAAAAATCCAAACGCTTCACGAATAGAACCGTACATATTTCAGGAACATATCCCGACAATTTCATTAGCCGTCACCACAGGGATTATTTGTAATTATTGAAAATGTATGACATAGTTTGGGATTTTAGTTACGTTAGAGTAAACTGATGGCTGAACATGGCAACGTTGAGGGAGGTTAGAGTGCGCGCGATGGAGGCCATCGTGTGAACTCAACCAAAGCATATACTATAGATTCTATAGTACAGTATAGGATTTTATCGGGACACAAGAATACCAACTGCGTCAAACAAAAATGCGTGGTTGTCAAATCTGTCATGAAAATTTTTATTTGTTAAAAAATTCGGATAAATAATATTTTGGAATAATAATCATTTGGAATTGATTAATCTTGAATAATAAGTGTAAAGAAACTTAAACGACGAATTTTCAATATACCCGTCAACTTTTCGTCCTTTCATTTTTTTTTTTCAAAGGATGCAGCGGAGTGTCGTAACCTTTGATATTTTCCCCAACCCCATAGCCCCAAAATTTACTGCGGAAGTTCCTTAATAAAACGATGGAATTGAAACATAATCCACAACTCCATTGCGTTTTACATTCATATAACTAAGACTATCCGTTCCCAATAGTCCTTACACCCATATAGTAATCCCGTATTAGTTTCGGGGTCCATGTGGCTTTAAGCGATTGTGGGTTTTACGGTTTCGGTTATTTGATTTTGAATCGTGCTTTTTTAAATTCAGCCTGCCACTTTTTATGAACAATTCACTTCAAACAATTGGAGCCAAAGAAATTTTTCTTATGGAAAAAATGGTTCAAAATTTCCCAAGAAATAAGTTTCATTCTTGTGAATTTTCTTCCATACATATATGCCTGGAAGAACATTTCATGCGGTTTGACGGAACCTTACCCGTATACCCCCACGCTACCCAAATCCCCACTTATTTATGTTAGGGCTCCCCACCACTCAAATCTTGGTTCCGGCTTTGGGAAGCAAGAGACGACATATTCCTTGATAAATTTTGGGCATTCCATGACGGGGAAATTTGTCTTCATCTCTCATAGTTTGATTTAAACAATTAAATTGTTAATAACAATTAGAATGAAAAATTCGGAATCAGCGACTCGCCGAACCTGAAGGCACACATGAAATCTTATACAGGGAAACCGATGCATGGGCGTCCGAACTAATTTACTTTTTTGATATTTGTCACGTAAATTATCAGTGGTGGTAATAATTATGCTTTAATGTATGAAAAAAATTGCCGAAAGAGCCTGTATGTTAAGCAATGTGCTAACTTAATGCGTAGCCGGTGCCGGTTTAATCCCGGTAAACAGTATCAGATCTTTCATCTGAAAAATTATTTATTCAATCCCTCTAAATATACCCAGACGTCTCGATGCAAAGAGATAATGGCCGTAATACTGTGGACAGCCGTAAAAAAATCACGAATGTCACAAAAATTAACGAATTCCATTGCTTCGAAAGTAACAAACAACACCTAACCTCTATAGTTGGCTGAATGGTTAGCACTTACGTTTGGAAATCCTCGACAGGAATTTGAATCAAACTATGGAAAATGATTCGGGCACAAGTCCGGCTATTCACTGCTCCAATTGACTCTGAAATCCTGCGGATGCTGTGACTATATTTTCTAGCAAACTTTGCACGAAGAGTTTCGTTCACGACAACAATTCCAATGCCCAATGTACGTTTTCAACCCGCGCCCTGCGTTCGGCGGAAAACTCTTGCGAGGATTCTGCCTTATCGACACATTTGCGTCAAGTTTTTTGCGGGAACTGGAGCTAAATATTTGATTTTTACATTGACTGTAAAATAATGAAGTAATAAATAATTAATAATAATGAATAATTTGCTTTTTTCCATTTTGCAACCATTTTTTTGGCCGGATAACACTTTGAGAATGACAGTCTGGCAGTTCCTCCATAAAAACTTTTGCAAATGGGAAGATTTTGTTTTTGTGGTACTATTTAACGGACAACATTTGACAGTCAAAATCAATTGATTCTTCAATAAAATTATTCTGTGAAAACTTTTTGCATTGAAAGCTCGTGGTGAGATTCGCATTAGAAAAATCCCTTTTCTTTAATTTATTGCCAAAAAATCTCCGGGGAAAGAAGCCCTAGAAAATGAGTTGTAGAGAAAGATGACAATCTGTTGACTCTTTCTAGCAAATATTGCTATGCATTAAAAAAAAATGCAGGACAAATCACAGGAATTTCAGATACGAATTGGCGAGAAACAAATAGGATTTTCTCAACATTTTTTTTATACATCGAAGATTATTAAGGAAATCACTTTCTTTCTGTCGAAAAATTCGAAATTGTTTCGTGCACTGAGAACAATTTCACTGTTAATTTTAACTCCAAGGAAATTGTCAAAGAAATTCTATTTACAGTAACAATAAACTTTGTAGATTAAACTAGGATTTATCGTTCGATTTGCAATGTCAAGTACACTGACAGAAATGGTGGAACGATTCAGTTGCACCAAACGAGGCTTCTTAACTGTTACCGCGATTCGTTAATAGTTAACGAATCGTGGTGATAGTTAAAAAGTCTCGTTTGATTCGACTAAACCATTCTATCAGTGTACTGTTATCAACATTATGATGTAATTTTCACTTTAATGTAATAGTTGAATCTACAATGTTCATTGTTACCGTAACTATTATTTCTTTGACAATTCCCTTGCAGTTGAAATTACCATTGACATTTCTCTCAGTATGTTTTTTTGTCCGTAAATATTCTAAAACACCGAGACCAGAAACGAACGTCGAAAATTCTTATGTAATTTTATTGTATCAATTATAACTTCCCTAATCCATATATATATTGTTATTACTCCATCGTTTTTCCGTCAACATGTCTATTTTGATTATTTTCCTTCGACAATATTCTGTCTGTTAGTACCTGATTTTACTGTGTCGATGTGACGGTGAACCTACCTGTGCGGCTACCTTTCGTATAGTTTTACTTAGACGATGTGAATGAAACGATCGAACTTGACTACTCTTGAATATTTTAGAGACACTATTGTTCAGAAACTTGCAAATATAGGGGGAGCCGCAGGTGGACCGTTTTACTACGGTCGCAGCTTTACGAGTCTTTCAACGGTCCCCCTCGGTTACTGAAGGGCGAGATTGGATAGTAGAGGGGAGCTCCTGTGGAAAACGGCGACATTCAACAGCCGTATTTTTTATTGCCTCATCGAAACTCCTTCAACGCAATAAACATGATAATTGATAATCTGTAAATCTCACACTTCATTATTTGGAATTTTTTACTATCATATATCAACAAATGTGGACGTCCGCATGAAAAGTGACCACTTTGTCGATTCTAGTTTCCGAGATATTCACGTTTTTCTCTTGCTAACTCCCATTTAAACCCATGTTAAATTATTTTTTCGATCTTCTTTAGCGTCGTCACTCTTTACGCTATCAAGTTCATTCTGGGCTCTAAATGTTTAGAATTAGATCAAGATTCTGGGAATATAAATAACTCCAATAGTGCCAAAGTGGTCCCTTTTCATGCGGACGTCCACAAATATCGAGGTGATTCTTATTTGAAGTTGATCAACATATGAAGATAGGTCTAGCGATTTTGCAGATGAGTATCTGATAAATAAAATATTCTTACACAGTAAACGAGAGAATTGTTGATACCTTATTCAATTTTTTTTTCAATTTTACGGTTTTCGAGTCCCATTCGGCGCTTTATCCAATCCTACGCATGTGGCTGTAGATTCTACACTGTATCGCATTCGCACTCCTGTAGAACATAGATGTAACAGGAAACCACAGGAACCCCATTTCGGTACAGGTGGATCCTCTATTTAATAGTAGTATTAACCGTTAGACTATGGTACTGAGAGAGAGAACAATCTGCAGGTTTAGCAACACGAAATAACCATAGCAATGATCCGTGCGGTACTGCCATGCCTCTGATGCATTTTAATATAGTTTCAGTAATTGGAAATACATCCGACAAAAATAATTTGACACTCGAATACTGAAATAGTTACTTGAAAATTCAGAATTTTCGTGTTCAAGAATTGAATCAAGACTCGAGAACAATGAGACCCCTTCCTTTTCACCACTCGGAGAAATACAGACGAAACGTCTTAAGTGATGCAACGCAACGGAAAAGGAAATTTAATTCTCACGGGAAACCAGTTTTTCAAAGACATGTTAGAACTGTCAAGCCCAAGCCACTTTGCCACCTGACCTAATTATTCAGGATTGACCCCCCCCCCTCCTCCCCCAGCCTATGAAAATCGAACAATTTTGAAAATAATTTTTTTTAATGAAAGCATTATTGCAATCGTTCGATTAAAAGTAAACGAAACTCAACCCTTAAGTGGCCGCATCGTGGGGGAATCCCCGCTAAACCATAGGGAATGTATCGGGCGCTACTGTAAAGCGAGTGAGACGATGTACAGTAGAGGCTTCATATAAGATACCTTGGGGACAGTAGCAGAGTGGTATTCCGGGAACCCCTCTGCCCCCACTACGCGCGCCCATAGAGAGGAGAAAAATAAGGATCAACGGGATTCAAATAAGATACCTCGCACGTTGCGCCCGAATTCAATAACATTTTCATTTTTACTGAATGAATATCGATAACTAATCAATTTGTTTCTACACTTTTAAAGGGCAAAATCGGTTTTTTAAAATTCTCCGCCATTTTGGATGGGCTTAGGTGAGTCAAAATATATATTTTTTGGGACTACACGTGGGGAGCAAATCTCACGGAGGCCAATTTTTTATTGCAGGACTTCCAAATTTCAGCAGTGTCCCCCCTTATAGTCATTAGACCCTCATGATCACTTCCTGTTATTATAAACATTGAACGATTAATGCGATCATTTATTCTCTTCAAACGAAATATCTTAACTCTAGTCTGGTCACCTGACGGGAAAATGCGACTTTAGTCACCTTCGCGGGAGAGTGCCGCCGTGTTATTTAGGTTCCAGCGTTGCCGAATCCACTCTACACTTCCCGGGCGCGTTTAGCGAGTTCCCAGCAACGTCGCGCAACAAGCAATTTCATTTAACACGGGAAAAAATTGTTCACCTGTTGGAAATAATTTTTTCTGTACTGCTTCTCACGATTTCTCGTCTGGGAATTGGTATTACATACTTCCCAAACTCGAAAACTTGAAAATCACTACAGAAAAATATTGTTCCTGGGCTGTTGCGATGGGGTTTTTTTACTCGTGTGGTTTTTACTCGCCTACGGCGCGGAGGCCGATGCCACACGAGTAAAAAACCCCATCGCAACAGACCGGAAAAATACTATTTTTCTCCCAGAATTAAGGATACAATATTGAAAAAAAAATACTAGAATTTTCCAGATACTTCAATTGACGAATTCAATTTTTCTCAAATTTTTCCGGTCAACCAGTCGATGGCAAGGTGAATAAAACAACGTGTTGCGGCAATTCTCTCGCATAGTGACCAGTCTAGGGTTAAATATAACTGTGGGCCAATAACGGCTTCCATTCACTCGTACAACTAGAATGAATGATTGTCTACAACGATCATGAGAATTCGGAATGACTGTTCCGCTCTGAGATTCTCATCATCGCTGTTAAATTAGAAATATGGAAGAGGGTCTCTCCTTCTACCTCCATTGTATCCAAAAATATTTATTAAGATCTCAGTTAACACGTCTCACATTGTAATACATATTCATAAACTCCAGACTTGTGATATCCATGCGAATAGAACGATCGTAAGACAAACGAAAAGCTATAATAAAAAGAAAACGAAAAGCTCGACCATCTGTATTTATGGCTCATCCAAATCATAAGAAACAACTCGCCTTGACAATCGACTGCCACTGTTAAACAAAACATCCTGATTGAAAAATAACGACCAATTGTTTTTCTACATCAACTACCCTTTAATAAATAAAACGTTTGAAAGGGATAACGGCCCGTAAAACCTAGCAGTTGGACGGCCTTAAAAACATAGAACAACTGGCCTTTTCATGGTCGTTTATATTCCTAGGAATGTGCCGGGGTGGAAGACTTTTAGGTGTCTTCCAATAGCGTGCCTCCTCATAACGGAACGTAAGCAGAGAGGACACTTATATGTCCCCCCATAATGGCTAGACCATATATGATCCTGTATTTTAACTTTCCCATCTCTTTTCACCGGGCACTTATTACAGAAGTACGAACGACCGTTGGGATGCGTGTAATCTTTCTCCCAATCAATCTCGAAAAATTGTGGATTGGACACTATAACGTAATAGTTGGCCACCCCCAGGAGATTTTGACGTCCTTTTTCGACTTTCCGATCCATACGATTGTTGCCATGTTGAAGACGTGGAAGAGAGCAAGCTCTATCAACTGCTTCCGGTGGCGAGTCAGATTCTCCAGGTCTTCCTCTCATCATTCCCTCGGTTATGTTCAGCTCAGCTACGTCAGCATGTCCAGGCAGTCCCTCAATCTCCCTCTCCCAACTATCGACATAAGGTTCCAACATTTCATCCTGTTGGATTGAAACTACGCCAGCTTGAGTCTGAGACTGAGGTCTCTTGTCTTCCAAATCTGCTGACCAAATTCCACTGTCTTTTGATGTGAAACACTGAAGACTCGAAGGTGATCCAGTACAATTTCCTGGATAAATCGTGACCCTCTGTTCAACTTCGTTTGCATCCTCAAGGTCCGAATCACCTTCTGAAACTTCACAAAAAGTTGAACTAGTATCTGTAACCGACTGTTGGTCCTCCTCAGATTCATGGGCATCTGCCACTTTTGATAGAAGTGTTTGTTTTTTGTGAATTGGAACAGCTCCAGCTTCATGTCCAGCTCCAGATTCATGACAATCCTCTGGTAGAATCGTTGACAATTGATCATCTTTGTTTGCATCATCGAATCTCTTCTGCATTCTGCCTATTTGAGCCTTAAGATCTGGATCACCTTCTAAACCTTCACGAAAAGTTGAGCTAGCATCTGCAGCTGATTGTTGGTCCTTCTCAAATTCATGTGCATCTGCCACTTTTGATAAAAGTGTTTGTTTTTTTTTTTGAATTGGGGCAACTCCAGCTCCCTGAGGATAATGCCTCCCTCCAGCCAAATCTCGTGAATAAACTCCACTGTTTTTTGATTCATGACGCTGAAGATTCAAAGATGATCCACGAAAATTTCCTCGTCGAATCGTTATCAATTGATCATCTTTGTCTGCATCGTCGAATGTCTTTTGAACTCTGACTATTTGATCCTCATGATCCGGGTCACCTTCTGAAGCTCCACGAAAAGTTGAAATCGTATCGTCGGCTGTTTGTTGGCCATTCTCAGATTTTTTTGCATCTGTCACTTTTGATAAAAGTGTTTGTTTTTCCCTTTGAATTGGAATAACTCCAGCTTGTTGAGAATAAGAGCTCTTTCGATCCAAATTTCGTGACCAAATTCCACTGTCTTTTGATTCATGACACTGAAGATTCGATGATCCATGACAATTCTCTGGTAGAATCGTTACCAATTGATCATCGTTGTCTGCTTCATCCAATCTTTCTTGAATTCTGAGGATTTGATTCTCAAGATCCGGATCACTTTCTGAAGCTTCACGAAAAGTTGAACGAGAATCTCCAGCTGATTGTTGGTCCTCCTCAGATTCATTTGCATCTGCCATGTTTGCTGAAAGTGCTTGTTTTTCCTCTTGAATTGGATCAACTCCAGCTTGCTGAGAATAACGTCTTCCTCTATCCAAATCTCGGGACCAAATTTCACTGTCTTTTGATTCATGAAGATTCAAAAGTGATTCACGACGATTTCCCGGTAGAATCTTTACCAATTGATCGTCTTTCTCTGCATCATCGAATCTCTTTTGAAATCTGGCTATTTGATCCTCAAGATCCGGATCACTTTCTGAAGCTCCACGAAAAGTTGAGCTAGCATCTGCAGCTGATTGTTGGTCCTCCTCAGATTCATGTGCATTTGCCACTTTTGGAATAACTCTCTGTTCATCCTTGGAGAGAGCTCTTCTCGATTGCAACTCCTGGATGTTGACACTTGCTTCTGGCAGGTCATCACAGTCACATTCCGGAGATGAGCATTCGTTTTCCAACATGTAGACTAATTCGTTCTCCAGATTTTTCACAGCATTTCTCAGTTCCCTCTCAGCTTCTATTCCATTGTCCTGGACCTCGTGAAATGCTGAAGTGTCTTCACGACTCGATTGATTCATTTCGACATTTTCAGTCAAAAAATTTGTGGATTTGTCCTGCATGCTGATCTCCATCAATTCTCTCTCACCTTTAGCAGGTGGCTGCATCTCACAAACCTCTTGAATACTCATCGCTGTTCCTACAACTGTCCTCAATCGTTCTATCCTCTCTCTGGTCATTTGCACTTGTCTCTCCAGGTTTCTCTCCTCTTCCCTGATAACATATTCTATTTTAACTTTGATCCTGTGAAATTGGGCTACGGCAGCTTCTGTTTGTAGTAGCCTGCACCGGAGATCGGAGAGTTCGTTCGTCAGACTGGTCCAGTCCATGTCAGTTAGACTCTCACCGTTTGAGCAGCTGACGACTAACGAGTTCATGTCAATTTTTCGACGTTTTAAAGGTACTTTATAATCTCCAACCGGTGGAGAGAATGACTCGTTAGTACCTTTGTTGCTCATCTGAAAGTGATTATTGTTACTTGTTTACATATAACCTCGATATAGTGCATTCGATCTGAGATTTTATTGCAGATTTCGGTGGCATACCTTCAATCTCGGATGAAAATCCACTGGAATAGGTTTCTACAATGTCTTATAACAATGGTGTTTATTTATTGTATTTGAGGTGGTTCACATCGATCTTTTCATCAATCACCGTAATTCTCGATAATGACTTCCACATTAAAGATGTGCGGGTAGTAATCATTCGTTATGCTTTTGAAACCCGAAAGTAACGAGTATCGAGAGTGAAAAGTATTCGGCACTTATGGTAATTTTCTATTGTACCGACCGTCGGTGTTGGGCAGTTAGGTGCGAGGGGGAAATCGTTCATGAGTGTTCTCTAAATCTGGGCAAATTGGATCTGAGAAAAGGAATCGCCTGAAGTCGAAGAATGTCCAAAGCCCAATGTTCCTTAATGCTAACTTCCAGTTCATACCTTCACATGTTGAGAAAAATAAGAAATACAATTTTATGATTGAAATAAAATATGGGTCGTAAAAATGATCGTTCGTTTATGCAGATTATTGTGCAAATATCTCTGAAACTCATGGGTTTAAAGGGAAATGTTATAAGAGCTTATTTGGTGAGGAACTAGGTTTAGGGTGGATTTGGGAGAAAATTTGGTAAATCACCCCTACCAACTTCCGCCGATGCCATGCGCAGACGCTTTTGGACATCGACCAACGGAGACAAATCGTTGGCGGAAGTGACATGCGAAGCGTGACCGTATAGGGAACTTGCATGATTTTTTAAAAATTTTTAGTCTCACGTGTCGGCGTAAAATGATTCATTTTTCATTTGTAAACATTATATTATATGCAGTGGCAAGACGTGCCCATGTTAACGAATGTTCTTAAACTTTCGAGTATTAATATAAAAATTCTGAGATCCTAGTCATCATCAAAAATCATCAAAATAGTTCAGTGTTTTTACGCAAAAGCTTCTTTCATTTACGAGTTTGATAGTATCTAAGGTTGAATAAACGCAAAGTTTGCTACAAAAAAAGTGAGTAAAATTTTTGATTGTTAATCTATAGTGAACAATAGTTCATGTCTCGTCGTAGAAATGAATTTTATTCATTCAAAGGATGATCATGAAGAAATGAATAAAATTCATTTCTTCATGATCATCCTTTGACTGAACATTGAAAATTCTATTTTGGATAGCTATCGGCATCTACAAAACTATTCGATCAATTATTTTCTCAAGAGATAAAAAAATCCACTTCAATTCCCTACAGTCTACCCTACTCTACGAGGTATTTTGAGGAAGGGCCCGATGAGCTTGCTGGACAAGCCAAGAAGATTAGTACTGAGTGATGAGATGTCCATTAATTTTCATGTGTTGATGCATTTTGTAGATTTAAGGATGTTTAAGGAATTTCTGCACATAATCTTTTAAAGCTTTTTGAAGAAAAATTTACAAAAATATCATAAAATTACTGAAATTTTACCAATTTCACATTTTATTTTGTTATATAGACGGAACGAATTATCTTGATAATAATTAACTTCACCTAAAAATTCTTTATTTGTTGAACATTTTTTGACCTATAAAAAAAGTCTCTTAGCATGACTACAGTGATAAAGGACTTTTACAATATTGATACATATGAATAAATAAGACATTCTTGACAGTTCAATTCTCTTCCAACTTTTCTTGAAGATAGAATGAGAAAATGTACAGAACTTAAAAATTAACCAGATGTTTTCTATGTTTATTAATACCGAAAATATCGATAACACTTAGGACTGCACATCAAGGATAGAAAAAACACGTTCTCTCAATTTTTCAGTTTTAGAACCTCGAGTTCATAATGGATCATCATGCGATTATACTTATTCATCAAACCTTTTGAATGATAATAATCGAATTCAGTAGTGAAGTGATAAACAGAGATAAGTCGACTTATCTTTCAGTTGAGTTTTTGAGGAATATTTCCGAATCTAAGGGAGATGGCGAAATTTTTGTAATTATATTTATTGTAGCACTCAATCGGCTCCACAAAAAAGGTTATAATAAAAATTTTGCTATCTTCCTTAGATTCCGAGATATTGATTGAAAAGTGGTCAATAGTCAAAATTGACTTATCTATATTACCACTTCGCTACTGAATTATAGTTACTCCATTACGAGATCGTGGGCAGCTTTAGCGACTGTGAGGTTGCAGAAGAAGCCGAAGGCTAGTTTGCAATCATATGACGCAGAAAACTGCTTCACGGCCGAGTGTTAAACAATAGTGTTTCCCGATCTGAGTGGTGAAAAAGAATAAATGTACACTTCGATAACATTCTACATATTTTAATCCCAAAATGACTTTCATTGCGTCAAAAACGACGTCGTTAGAGGGGATCAAAAAATCCTCAACATTATTTAAATGGGAGTTGTGGAAACAAAAGTGTGAATATCTGAGAAACTCGAATAAGCAAAGAGAGCCCTTTTTATGCGAATGTCCATAAATGAAGAAGTCTGGAAGACCAACAGCTTAGCTGAATCCTCAGAGTCTCGATTCACGTGAATCAGGATGTTTCTTGAGAATGTGCTTTCTGATGCTGTTGCTGACTTTGAACAAAGTTTTAATGCCAGTTGGACGACAATGGGGACACTCATAATTCCCTCCATAATGTTCAACCCAAACATGATCTATTACTCGCGCTGAGGACTTAAAAGAACGGGAGCATCTGTTGCAAACCCATCTGCCCTCTTTAGGTTGGTTGTACTGTTTGTCCCAATTAATTTTGAAGAATCGACTGGAGACAAGAACGTGATGGGCCTTCCCCACATTCAATGGTCTAGATGGAGATTTTTTTATATTTAAACCTGGTGGACAAGAATGTTCTGTATCACTTCTCACTCCTGGAGAATTTTGTGCATTTTCTGAAAGGAACTGAGACCAACTTGAAGGTATATATGAATCTTTTTTATCCCATCCTCTCACTAAAGACTCTACGTCATCACTAGAGTGCGACCTTTCTGTTTCTTTCTGTCTCGAAACTGTCCCTGCCTGCAGGCGATTGACGGCCCCATTCTTCGAAGCTGTTGGACATGTACCTCTCTCGCTTGATTGAGACCTGGAGACTCTCGAGCTGGATACTCCATCCTCCTGCTCTTCCATACCCTGTTGTTTACTGCTTCCTGCATCGTTCGATTTCTGTTGCACGATGGGTATTTGTTCCTGGATAGGAAGTAAAGGTAAAGCATTATCTACCAATGCTGGTCTGTCTTCAAGTTTTTCTCCACCTTTTTCTGTTGTTTTAAGAGACTTGTGTTTCTCAGGGCGAGATTTACTTGCATTGAACGTTTGAATTAAACGACTCTCGTCTTTGGGTTTTATGTTTCGAGGGTTCAATGCCGGCTTGGGCGTGGAATTAATCTCCAATATTGCGTGCCTATCAACCAGGTCTTCCTCTTCACGTTTGACTGCTGTCTGCATCTCTGAGTCATATTCCAAAACCCTTAATAGAGAGGGAAGTCCTTCAGCGTTCAAGACACTGTGCATTGCTACCTGTTGCCGATCGAGGAAGATCACCAATCGGGAGAGCTTGGCTTCCGCAGCTACTTGGGCTTTACGGGCTTCATTTGTACGCCTCAGTGACGCTTTCAGTTCCTCTTGCAATTGTGCTATCTTCACCTTGTCCGCATTCACCTGCACCTGCAGGATATTTTTCTCCTCCTCGAAGAGTTTTTGCATTTCCGCTCGTGTCTTCTGATGAGTATCTTCCATTTGCTTTTGTATCTCGTGATGCTGATTGACAGCAACTTCCATCTGAACTAATTTTGCGCTTAGGGTCATCACTTCTGTCCTGAGATGTCGGCATTCTAATTCAAATGCAGCGGCACTGCTTGAAATCGATGAGTTGAGTTTTTGACGTTTCATAGTATTCCTCTGGCTTGGAGGTGACGAGGATCGTGGAATGTCAATGCTGTTTTCACCCATCTGAAACTTTTTATCGCATAACATACATGAATTGCCAGTGATTCATTGATTGAGTTTCGATCGTGATTGAGATATCAGAAAATTCCATTAGATCTTATTGGATTTGGTAAGACGAGTAATTTATTCATGAGTCATTGAAGAGCAAGATACGTATATCATATTCTTTTCATTGTTTAAAATGCGCGAATCTTCAGGATTCATTTACACTATTGGTAAATATTTTTTTCAACTCGATTTAATCGTTATTTTTTTATTTTTAATCTACTATTTACAATGAATTTATGTATGTATTATTTTAAGAATTTTTGGATCTGGTGTTTTCAATAAGGAACTGATTGAGTTCGTACGTGAAACTTTATTGTTTCAACTCTCTCATGAGTTGGCGTATAATTATTCTGAGTGGGGCAATGCCACAGAATCTGAACGCTTCTCTTAAACAGCCGGAGCCATTAAGGAACTTCCGCAGTAAGTATATGGGAGTAGAAGGAAATGGACTACAGAGCTGAAATTTTGAGAATATATTCTTTGAGTGATTACAAATATGGCCCCGAAGTCCCAAAACGCTGAACCACGTAGATTGTTGAGGAGAAAATATGAAGAATGTGTCATTAACACAGAGTCTTGTGGCACCACTTTTTTAAAAATCACAAAAAATAATCGACAATAAAATAAAAATCCAAACGCTTCACGAGTAGAACCGTATATATTTCAGGAACGTATCCCGACAATTTCATTAGCCGTCGCCACAGGGATCATTTGTAATTATTGAAAATGTATGGCTTAGTTTGGGATTTTAGTTACGTTAGAAGAAACTGATGGCTGAACATGGCAACGTTGAGGAAGATTAGAGTGCGCGCGACGGAGGCCATCGTGTCAACTCAGCCAAAGCATATACTATAGATTCTATAGTACAGTATAGGATTTCATTTGGACACAAGAATGCCAACTGCATCAAACAAAGATGCGTGGTTGTCAAATCTCTCATAAAAATTTTTATTTGTTAAAAAATTCGGATGAACAATATTTTGGAATAATAATCATTTGGAATTGATTAATCATGAATAATAAGTATAAAAAACCTAAACGTCGAAAGTTCAATCCACCCGTGAACTTTTCATTTCATTATTTTTTTTTTCAAAGGATGCAGCGGAGTGTCGGAACCTTTGATACTTTCCCACTCCATAGTCCCAAAATTTCCTGCGGAAGTTCCTTCAGCACCAAATAATAATAATCTTGGTTTGGGTATTTATAAGTACAGCTCGCGTAATCAAGTATGTGCATTCTTTTAAGAGAGGCTTTCAAGTGATAATGGTTGACCCTGACTCTAATGACGCTGCATCATGTTCATTTGAGAATTTTTAAGACAATGGACGGATCGTTGGATGATTCACCCTATGAACCTCTAACCTCTACAGTGGGGCCATTTACACCGGTACTTCAAGTCACGTCAAATATGGCTAAGTTTATGTTTATTCCAGGTCAAGTCTTGGTGGAAACGCCAAGTTGAACTAAACTCCGCATTTTCACCGAGAGTTAGGCAGGAGTAGACATAACCTTAGCCAAACTTCGAGCGACTTGAAGTCCCGGTGTAAATAGCCCCAATAAATCACAGTTTCAATATTCAGGTTGAGGCCCCGCTTCAAAGCTGATTCAATCATAATTACCTTGGAGCAGTTCTTGTCATAAACAATCTCGCACATAACGCTGACTTTTTTATAAGTGTCAATCGTATCAGTTTTATTCACGAGAAAAAGAATGTGTTGCTATTCTTCTTCTTCTATTCCAAATGGCGTTGCCCCAAACTCTGTTAGGGGCAAGTGCCAATTCTTCTCTAATGGTGTGTCACTGTCTCGCACTCAGCAATTGTAACGGAAAATGCAGAAAGCTTTTATACCGACGCGTTTCAAGGATTTCATCTCCGGAAATTAAGTCTTGACTTTCCGCCCTTGATGCCCGGCTGAGGGTCCTTTATTTTACTTCCCGTGGTTAGAACGCGATTTTCCGTCTCGGCGTAGGCGCAAAGTCAGAGTTCCCTCCCGCGAAGCGGGAGGGAAATGTAACTTTGCGCCCGCCGGAACGGAACATACTATTTCTTTCATTGAATCTTGTGATTGTTCGTGTTATTACCAAGTGCATACTCATTTTGGAAGCTTTGTTATCCTATTTACTAAAGATGAAAGAAACGTGAAGTTGTTTTATATCGAAATATCTCGACGCTGCCTGACCGTTAATCCTTAATTCTGATTGGTCAATATGTGACACACGAAGTTATTCACAAAAAAAACACGCGGCATTTTCAAATTCTTCAGTGACATAATTTCAAATTCTTCGTGGTAAATATTTTTTTCACGTCATGTATATATAATATATATATTTCACATGTATATATATCATCGGTGAAATAGACCTTTTCATTCTGAGAGTCACTAGATTTACGGACACTTTATCGAATTTACATATAAATCATGGTTTTTGAGCGCTCAAGTGTGTATCATTGTAAAGTTCAATATTTATCAGAATTTTCCATGGTTTTTTCGGAGATTTTTTCGTTGAATGAACGAAATAAATATTTCCCCTAGATTTCCAAAATGAAAAGGTCTATTAATAAATTCTGTCCTTTTATGGAGACCGATTATTTAAAAAAATTTAAGATAATTAATTGAAAATGAAAAATTCTTCATATATTCTTTTACTCTACTTGGCTATTCACTTCAATCATTAGTCGAATTCTCTTTGATTCATTATCAATATTTATAAGGTATTCATGAGAAAACGAAATTTAATGAATTCCATTTCTTCATTTCAACAAATGAATAGATCAGCGCGCGCATAGATCTTGTGACAAACAATGGTTGGAATTATTTGTTTATATTATTGTATAGAATTTTGTTTTCAAGAGCCTGATGAAATAATAGTATATTTCGTCATTAGGCCGAAAATAAGTTTTCTGGCGAATTCACGATCGCAACGTCGATGCGAGAGCCACTAAGTGGGCTTTAAACTAACTACCTTGGCGGCCAACCAATGAAATCGCTGGGAATGAACCAATGATAGGCGTTAATCAATGAGATCACTGGGTTCTCCGTGATCTCATTGGTTGGCCCCCAAGAGTAGTTAGTTTAAGGACCACTTGATGGCTCCCACATCTATGTTGCGTGCGTTCGTGAATATGAGTTTGGAGTCTCCGAGCCGAAGGCGAGGCACGGATCTCCAGGGCATTAGTCTGTGTTTAATAATTTCACCTGAAGAGGGCTACCAGCGACGGAAATTTTGTTGGAGTCTTCTTCCTGAATGAATATATACATTCATTCGAGCCAAATCTCCCTTTCCAATCATTTTTTTAAATTTCAAAAATGGACTGTTCACAATTAAATACATATAAAAAGAATTTCCTAATATTTATTCAGTTTCACCAATAACAGATTAAGGCGTTATCTTAAATTATGGCGTTAAACCTTCAAATGGCCATGAATATTATTGACTTACCTGACGACTGTCTAGTTTAGGGAGAATACTAATAACCTTTATATTTCTCAGCTTTATTTCAACAGAAGTTCTTCAACGTAACTCTTCTACGTTTTGCCACTCTATTTTGTTCTCCTACCATTAGAAAAATCAAATTGTATTAACTCTAACAGACAAGATCCTTAGCTCGTTTTTCAGGAACTAGACTGAACAAAATTCTTATCACACGATACTATCCAATAAAAAGATTCATCAAAACAAATCACGCAACAAACACTTATTGTCATCATATTTAGACGCTTGGCAACGATTAAAACGAGTAAAAAAGCTTGAAGATCAGTGATTGAGCTCATTCTGGATGCCCATGGCTTCGTACAGACGAGAATGCTGTCTTTGATAATGCACTCGTATGCTTTATCTGCATGAGAAAAAAGGCCTGGAACCAGTACAATGAGGGCCCTCGAATTTACTCCCATAATGCTCAATCCAGAGGTGATTCTCAGTTCGTTTTTCCCGAACTAAACTAAACAAAATGTTTATCACACGATACTATCCAATAAAAAGATTTATCAAAATAAATCCCGCAAGGAATACTTATTATCATCATATTTAGACATTTGGCAACGATTAAAACGAGTAAAACAGCTTGAAGATCAGTTATTGAGTTCATTCTAGATGTCCATGGCTTCGTGCAGACGAGAATGTTGTTTTCGATTATGCACTCGTATGCTCTGCCTGCATGAGAAAAAAGTCCTGGAACGAGTACAATGAGGGCATTCATATTTACCCCCATAATGCTCAACCCAGACGTGATCCTCCGCTCGCTGTTCATTCTTCAAAATCCGAGGGCATTTGTTGCAGGCCCATTGACCCCATTCGAGTCGACTGTACTCTTGACGAAAATTGACCTCGAAGAACCGACTTGACACTAGTACATGATGATTCTTTCCTATATTTATGCTTCGTCTGTACTTCCTTCGTGTCACCCAATGTGATCCTTGTAGATTCTCCCCATCAGATTCACCATCTGAAGAAATTATTGAGGCTTGCAATGAAGGATTGAGACAAAACAGCTTTTTATCTGATGCTTCTGAAAAAGAATGGCCTTCGTCATTGAAATCCACGTGTTGACTCCCAGATTGACCATCAAAAATATCTGGAGAAGAGTCACTTCCATTCTGATCTTCTGACGACCATTTCTCGTCATCAGCAGCATATGAAGAGTCTGTCTTATCAAACTGGATATTAAAGCCTTGAGTGTTTCTGTTTGTCTCTTGCTTCCTCTGCAATTGATGATTTTTCACCTGAAGATAATCGTGTCGAGGCTTCACATCTTCTTCTGCTTGTCCTGAAATCATCTTTACCTGGCGATGACGAGATACCTCGTACTCTGAAGATGTCGAGCATGTTTGATTCTTGCTCAATTCGTGATCATTAAATCTTGATGATGAGCCTGGATTTTTTTGTTCCTGCTTCATTGCCTGTGGCTTCTTTCTCTTTGAGTCGTTCAATTCTTGTGGTGTGGTGGGCATTGGTTCCTGGGTGAGATCAATTAGATATTTGACATTTGTATTATTTATTGAAACTGAGTGCATCTCCTGGAGTTGAGGTTCTCTCTTCAGTTTCTTCACATGTCGTTCCTCTGCTTCAGATATCCCTTGTTCTTCACAGCTGGATCGTTCTGATTTCATTGTCTGACCAGCAGAGCTTTTCTTGTTGACATCAGTGTTTTGAGGGTTTGAGTCTGTCTGAAGTGGTTGATCATCATCTGACATTGCTTGCTGATCAATTGACTCATCCTCGTTTTCACGTTTGATTTTGTCCTGAATCTCATTGTGATCCCCTTGGAGCCTTGACGAGTTTGGAATTCCCTCAGACTTCAAATCAATCATCAATGCTGTTACTTTTCCTTCTATTATTGACTTCAATCGCAGAAGCTCGGCTTCTGCAACTGCCTGGGCTTCACGTGCCTCATCGGCTTGTCTCACACGTGCCTCCAGATTCTCTTCCAATTTCTCTATTCTCATTGTGTCCAATCGCGCCTGCATCATTAGTTTATTTTTCATCTTTTGAAATTTGTCCGTTATTTCGCGTTGCTTGTTGTGATGTTCCATGGCAGTGGCTTCACTCTTGGATAATCTGGCGCGCAGGGCTGCCACTTCTTTCTCCAGATGGCTGAGCTTTAAATCACTCTTACGGGCAGAGTCACTGTCTGAAGAGGCCGATGTGGAGAGTCTTCTGCGCTTAAAAGGTCTTTTTGAATCTAGCGATGGTGATGAGGAATGGGAATCGTCGAGGCTGCTGTCACTCATCTGAAAGTTTTTGTGATTTGTTGTTATAGTCAAACTGAACCCCATTTTCCGCTCTCAACCTAAATTAATTTTACAACCTCTAACCTCTATCGTTTCATTGATCTTCCAAGTTTCTCTTGTGTGTTGATTCTTACCTTGAGATTTTTCGTTTGGCAGACAAATTCTCAAAAGAAAAACGTTGCGAGAAATTTTTTGGTCAGTCTTTGCAACTTTTTTATTCACTTTGGGGATTTCATGAAGTGATGTCTTTTATTTTTTAGTGCTACCGGTGCTACCGATGGTGGCAGATGATGGCAGCTGGGCTCGAGCGTTAGCCGCACAGCCATTGGTTGGGATGACTCTGAGATAGGGATGGACGATGTTTGTCGCGATTAATCGAAAACTTCGATTTTTCATGCCCACACATCGATGTTTTTCATTCGATGAAAGTCGGTCAAAGTGATAATTGTTTCGATAATTGATCGTCGAAAGTTAAAGATTTCAAACGCTTTGAAATTGCTAATGACGTCACAAGTATTGTCGTACGCTGGACCAATCACAGCGTGGCGCGAGCCGACCTAACCCAATCTTCACGAGCGCCTATCCAATGGAAGACAAAAAAATCTCCTCTCTCCTCACATTTGACCAATGGAGCGCGTCGGGGCGCAGAATGGCCTGAGACTTCCTGCTGGTTCCTATTACTTTTTTCAAGCCAGATCTCTTTTTCGCTCAAAAACATCATTCTTCACGTTTCATAACATTGTAGACCATTTGCAATCAAAATTAGAAAATTGAAAAATCGGTCAAATACAAGGCTTCCATTCGGAAGCAAAACGTCTAAATTCCGAAATAAAACAAAAATTACAGTAAGAAAACACTTTATTCATCCTGATTCCTCAAGAATTAATTAGAAATGTTATTTATAATGAATCATTAAGTTTAGCCTGAACCCAATCGATATAAGACGAGACACGAGTGTAGACAGCTGGGGTACCAGCGGTTCCACATGGAAACGTGCCCCAAGAGACGATGCCAACTTGTTCGGGTTTCAAATCAGCGTTGAACTGGACGAGTGGGCCACCAGAGTCCCCAGAGCAAGTGGATTGGTTTCCACCGATTGGTCCAGTGCAGATTTGAGTGTCGAATAGTTCGACGGGGCCAGGTGCTTCCTTGAGGGATTCAAAGCACGTGTCATGGTCAATGATGGGGACTTGAAGGGCCTGCAGTTCGGATGGGTAACGGGGAACTTTCTCAGTAGAGATGGAACCCCAACCGGTGGTAACAGACTCGCCAGTGTGCTGCTTTTTCGCGGCAGGGAGGGCGATCGGTTGAATGAGGTCATTGTAGGTCAAGGGAGACTGCAGGTGGAGAAGACCAATATCGTGTTGGGCTATGCCTCTGAGGAAATAATTAACGACGATTAGAATGAAAATGACTGAAATGGAGGAACGAGATGTCGTGACACATACGAAAAGAAATTTAGAGAAACCTAATGCATTCGCTACAAAATTCTAATGAATTTGAATTGAGAATTGCATTGGTTTTTCTGCGTATTCTTTCTGATAAAAATGTTCAATAGAAATTATTTCATAGGAAAATTCAATCGAATTTGATTTTTCGATAGAACTTATTTTATTGACTTTTTTTGTTTGAATATTTTAATGAGGAGAAATAAAAACGAATGAAAAATTAGAAAATGATGAATTTCTATGGGAAGTGTTTCAATAGAATGAGTTGCACAGATAAATGGAATGCTATGAATTTTTTGCCACAAAAACGCGTTTAAAAATTCCAGGATTTTTTAATAGAATCAAAGAAAAACTAATGGTATTTGCAATGGAAGTTTAATAGAAATCTAATACGATTGTCTAACGAATGCACTAGCTTTTTCAATGAAAATTGTTTGTGGGTGGATTTAAATTTGAAATGAGTTGCCAATGAACATCTTCATCATTTGTAGTGATAAAACTCCCAGTAAAAACTCATTAGAGCCCGTTTAGCTCATAAAATTACAACACTGTTATAAAATTTAGTGAAACTTAATGTGGTACTTTATGTTGCGTATGAAAATATTCAATAGAAAAATCTGGCGAATTCCGTAGACAATTCTATTGGATTTCTATTGAATTTTCTATTAGTTTTTGGCCAATTATATTGAAATGTTCAATAGGAAATATTCTACAGAAAAAGTCAAAATAATTCGTTTTTTCTATTAGATATTTTCTATTGAAATGCCTGTGCTCAAACTTTCAGATTTTGTTTGTTTGATTTTCTTGACGAAAAAAAACGAAAGATGAAATGAAAAAAACTTGGAAAATTTGTGTCGAGGAAATTCTAGGGAAAATATCTCGAGAGAATAAGTTGTATAGAAAAAACGAATACAAGCTATTGAAATATTTTCTATTCTAATGATCTGACGAACTAATAGAAACAATACAAGGAAACTCCCAAACCCTAATCTGTTATTGAATAAAACCTAGTAATCCCCTCTCATTACTTTCCTACAGTCAGTCATTAAAGAAATAATTCAAGGATTAGTAAAACGAAATGTTTCGTTACCCTGGGTAGCTCGGATGGATCAGCCTGCGGGTAACGAGACGGTCCTCCTGTCCGGGCTCATTCTTATTAATGACATGCTTTCCGGCGCTGATACGGAGCCGTCCAACCTTGGGTATTTCAGTGATGCAGTGGCCAGCAGTCAGGATCCAGCTTGGGTGGATGATGGAGCCGCCACATATATGACGGTATTTAATGAGAGGAGGGAGTCCCCATTGCACGGATACCTGGTATGGGTATTTGTGGGGGATTGCAGTCTCACCGTTGGTGATCCGTGAATCAAGGGCGAACCCTTCGAGAATTCAAGGAGAGATCATCAATTCTTCAAATGGCATTGAAATATTGGAAATTTACAGATCAAAATACAGTCAAGGCTTTATATAAGATACTTCAGGGACAGTAGGAGAGGAAAATTCCGGGAATCCGTATACCCCCACTACGCGCGCATGTAGAGAGGAGAAAAATAGGGATCAGCGGTTTGAAATAAGATTCCTCGCTCGTTGCATTCGAATTCTATGGAATATTCATTTTTACTGAATGATTATTGAGAAAAACAAACACATTGTCAAACATGTCTTGTTTGGGCCAACAAAATCGCTAGTTGAAAATTGAAAAAAGAATGTTTGGTTCGAATTTGAAAGTCTCAAACATGAATAATTGTTCTGCTTTCGACAGCAACGAAATATCTGGCTCAAGAGGCGGATAATTCACACCAGACGGTGCCTTTTCAGGATGAAAATATCTCATATAGAGGAAAATTTATCAATAAATATTTTATCCCTAAGTTACAAGAATGCTATCATATAATTATTATTGTTTTATTCAAGGGTTCATTTTTTGTCTGTGATTATTAGACAGCCGAAACGAAAAACTACTATCCCTTATTTCGCATAAAACAAAGATTTTTCGGGAGCAAAATACGTATGCGAGTATCGAATAACGAAGGAGTAGTGCTAGAAGTAACACTTCTTGCGTGTACAGAGAATGCAATTTTTTTAAACTACTAAATCTATTTTTGCGACGAAAATTTTTCATTCCAGTGCACTCTCTGCATGTTTGGCACAAAAAAATCCTTTTCTGATAATTTTCAAAAAACTATTTTCTTGGCACAAATAAGACATGCTTGAGAACTTTGTCGTTTTTCTCTCAGTGTAGGAAGGTATCTTATATGAAGCGTCGACTGTACTTTGAAACTTCTCAATTCTCTACTGAAAAATCACTCAATTTCGTGAAAATCCATAAATAAGGACGAATTAATGATGAAACTGCTTGAAATGCAGTAATGAATTGGAAAATTAAAGTCGTTATTGAAATTAATAAGTTAATAAATCAATTGATAAATAAATCCGAGATTAGTTGATGAATTGGTCTTCAATTCAGCAGAATAACACATCATTGAAAATTGTCATAAATCTAACAATGAAATTTCAATAAATACCCAACAGTCTTGAAGGACTTACCTTGGGCCACGAAGAGAGCAGCAATCAACCACCGGAACAGCATTTCGTAAGTCTGTAATTCTCTTCCGTGCTACACGATCATTATATACCATCATCATATCAGTCTTCAATGATAAGACAATGGGCAATTCCCAAATATAATCAATGCAATCAGATCATTCACCTCAATCATATTTTGCTTCAAAAGATAGCGTTATGTCACGATTACAGCAAAATTTAATTATTGCGTCGTAATAAAATGACGATAATTTCTCAACGAATTTCTCCTGTTTTGAGCCTATCTGAAGATAACACCTTGGAGTTGGCGTCGAATGAATTGTTAAAATAATATCAAAATAAAACTTGGATAAGTAAAAAACTGGAAATTTCCTGAGGCAATAGAATTCAGTCATCCATAAAATAAAAAATTTCACGAATAAATTCGTGTAAAAGAATCGTTATTTTTTCTATCTAATACGTAATTCGCAACCATCATACTACGTATGAAAAAATTCAATACAAAAATCTAGCGAATTCGATAGAAAATTCCATTGGATTTCTATCGCACTTCTATTCAAAATTCTATTAGTTTTTGGCCGATTCAATTGAAAAATGCCCCAGCTTCACTACGCGTTTTTTAATAGTAAATGTTCAATAGAAACTATTTTATAGAAAAATCAGTAGAATTTAATCTTTCTATATAAATTTTTTCATAGGAATTTCTCTACATAAATTTTTCAAGCTTTTTTGCCACTATTCTTTTTTTCTAATATGTCACATTGAACATTTCTCATGCCAAAACAACTCGCAGATAAACTGCGGAATTTGTCAATAGAGTCCGCCAAAAACTGATAATAATTTCGATAGAAATCTGATAGAATTCAGTAGTGAAGTGGTAAACCGGTATAAGTCGATTTTGACTATTGCCCAGTTTTCAATGAATATCTCAAAACCTAAGGGAAATAGCAAAATTTTGGTCATAACCTTTTTTGTAGAGCAAATTGAGGGCTATAAAAAAGGCAATTACAACAATTTCGCTATTTCCATTAGATTCCGAGATATTTATTGAAAACTGGCCAATAGTCAAAATCGACTTATACCGCACTTGGCTACTGAATTGTCTAGCGAATTTTCTAGATTTTTCTATGGAATTTTATCGAATATGATTCTATTATCGTCATCAAATTCAGTAGTTCAACTATTCAACTATGTCTTTTTTGACATATTGCGGTAATGTTTACAAGAGTGATTCATTGAACTATTACAGGCCTGCCCTGCATATTGTCATCTACGTTGTGAATATTCATTGCCTAAGCTGACAGGTTTTCATGTTAGTGGTACTCTAGTCTTCCTTTCTAGCCCTCTCAACGCGGATGCGATAGCGTTCTATTTAAACGGAGAGAAATATTCAATAAAAATGGCGTATCTTTTCCGTAATTCCAGAGCGAAATGAGGTTGTAGGAGATTTTACATAACTGTTGCGAAATTTTCCCAGAGCGTTCCGTAATTTTTATCTGAATGTCCTGTGAAAAGTTACGATACCGTCACTTAAATTTTCTGAGTCGATTCCATACTCAGTGAGCAAATTGTGAGTTCCGTCATTTTTACTGAACATTTCTCTCCGTGGATATTTACTGTATGCTTCTAAATTAAAGGATGAAGTTCTTGCGAAAAAATGGACGGTCTGTAAAACCCGATCAAGTAATAACCAACTATCGACAATCTTTTCCTGTGTCACCACATGACTAGTATTGTTTTATGTAACTTTTAGTTTTGTGAGTTTCCACACGAAAAAATTTAATAAAGAAACCTATCGAATTCGTTCGAAAATTCTATTGAATTTCTATCAAACTTCCTATTAGTTTTTGGCTGATTCTATTTGACATGTTCAGTAGAAAACATTTAATAGAAAAAGTCAACAGAATTCGATTTTTCTATATAACTTATTCTTTTCATATACTTTCTATAGAATTTGCTCGACTCAAATTTTCAAAGTTTTTTTCATTCTATTTTTCTTTTGGTCTCATCAAGAAAATCAAACGAAAAAACTTGGAAAATGTGAGCCGAGGAAATTCTATAGAAAATATCTCAATAGAATAAGTTGTATAGAAAAATTGAATTCTATTGACTTCTTCTAATGAATATTTTCTGTTGAACATTTCAATAGAATCGGCCAAAAACTAATAGAACAGTTCAATAGTAATTCAATAGAATTTTCTAACGAATCCGATGTTTTTCTATTCATTTTTTTCGTCCATGTATTTGCAGTGTATGAGTTTATGCAGATTGTTCACTGTTCAGTTTTTTCTCTCATTACGAAAATATATTCTGGCATCCCCTACTGTTATAGGAAGAACCACCCCGTAAAATAGTGTAAAATAAATAAATAAATAAAATAAATTGCGAAAAAAGCTGAAATTCTTCACTTTTTCTCTCCATCATGCCGAAATTGGAACTCAACTTTCACACTTTAAGAAAGATGAAACTAACTGAACTAAAACGAAAAACTGCAAATGAACTGTCTTATTTCAGAATGCATCGAGGTACTTTCATAAACTCGCATTGTATGTTACATGTTCAGATTCCTATGTTCAATGGAGGGGGTACGACGCGATTCCAATGTACCAAGTGATTTGGTATGGATACTTGACACTTAAGTCTCCTGGTGATAACGCACTTGGAGACGACGTCCGGCGTTGCCACCCGAAAATTGCGAAATCGTTCTATAAAATAAATCAATTATTCTTATCAAGAATCTTGGTTCGCTCTCAATTTCGTAGTGTTCATAATACTTTTCTTATATGTCATTCATTTCGCGCACGAAATCTACTGGATTTATACTAAACTTTCTATTAGTTTTTGCTCGATTTTATTAAAATGTTCTGTAGCACATATTCTATAGAAAAAGTCAATAGAATTCGTTTTTTCTATACTTCTTCTATTTATTTTCTAGAGAAGGTATTTTTTACAGAATTTTTTCGGCTGAAATTTTGTAAGGTTTTTTCATTCCAATTTTGTTGTCTACACGGAGAGAATTTTTTTAGAAAAATTCTAGTGCTAGTACGGGAAAAGAGGCGCAAAGTGACGGCCAGGAAAAAATTCCAGTGCCGGCAGTAGAAATTTTATTGGAGAAAACGTGAATTTTTCCCCGTATTTCTGTGAAAATTTCACAGAAATCCCCAGAAAGTTTACCAGAAATACCAAGAAATTTTACCTTAACAGCACTAGAATTTTTCACAGCCGGTGGATTGTGATTTTATACAGTACTCGTATTAGAATTTTTTTAGAAAATTTCTCTCAAACAAAAAACTCAAACAAAATCAAACAAAAAACTTGGAAAATTTTAGTCGGGGAAATTATATAGAATTAATCTCAATAAAATCGACCAAAAACTAATAGAAAGTCCAACAAAAATCCAATAGAATTGTCTAACGAATTCGCTAGGTTTTTCTATTAAATTTTTTCATTCGCGTTTCCTTAATCTTTACGTAAGTATTACTTCTTTTTCATTTACGACGACTCTAATATCATTTTTAACCAAACCAAAATTATCCATTACCTTTCGATTCAATCCTTTCTTCACGTTCCTGCCGGATAATATCGACCAAAATTTAGATTTCGGTTTGTCATTGGAATTGCAAAATTCTTTCTCAAAGGTCAATATGCGTAATAAGTAAAATTTATTGATTCATTGGTAAAAATGTAGGTGTAAAATACATATCATGAATTTAGTTAAAAATAATACAGGCACATTTTGAAACATTAATTATATCGTCACAATCTGCGTACGACTTTCAACAAATACAACAAATTTATGAAGGCTTTTATCCGTTTCCCGCTGATTTCTAATTGGGCAAAATTCATTAGTTAAAAAAAATTAAATCTTCAACTGCATTTCATCGTTGAGATCATTGTAACGATTGATAGAATTATGAATTCATTTTGCGAAATATGGAATTCTGCTCGCATTTCAGGAGGTCCTGAGAGAGCCTTCTAAGGTCAATTGCAAAACAAATCTATTAACTAGTTTAAACGATTTCTGACATACATGAACAATTCACAGAAATTAAGCTTAATCAAACCTTCCAGGGTTCGTAGAAGCTTTTAGTCAGAGAATGAAAATCGACAACAAGGGACAACTATAATACTATAATGGCTATATCTGAGGGGCTGGTCACTTAGTAAATCACTGAACCACTCGACTGGAAATCAAGGAAGAAGTTACCAGAAATCAATGGAAATTACTGGAAATCAAGTGATTTCCATTTTCGGTAGTGATGTCTAAAGAGTTCTGAAAATCATCGGAAATCATAAAAAAATCAGGTGATTTCCGAAATCATTAGAAATTATCGATAAGTGTAAAATTTTGCAGTTTCAAGTCTACAATTTTTGTTTTTGGTATTGGTGCGTTCGAAATCATCCAATTCCGAAATGTGACGCTATGAAATTTTTGACATCCTTACGTATCGTAACGCCATGTAGAAAACTGTCATTATCGAAAGAGGCCCCACTCTGGTCCCGGAATCATGATTTCTCCAGTGATATCTTGAAATCAAGAAATCATTAAAACCTACGAGGAATCCTGGAAATCACGAGAAATTAAAAGAAATCATGATTTCTAATGCTGATTGATAAATCACAAAAATCATTAGAGAAATCACAAAAATCAAGAGGAAATCATCTGATTCTGGAAATCACTGAGTCATTCAATTGAAGAGTGACCAGCGCCTCGGCTATATCTTCAGTTATAGGGTAAGCTACCCAGTAGATGGACACTGCCCTATAGATGGACAAGCTACTTTTGGATAGGAAATTACGCAAAAAAATACTGAAATGTGAATTGTAGCTTTGAATTTTCACTAACTGTTGTGATTCTTAACCCCTGAGTGACGATTTTTTTTTCGATCAATTTTTTTTTTCAATTGCTAAAAAACAAACGTCCATCTACTGGGCGGTTTTCTTAGGCGTCCATCTACTGGGCGGTTTACCCTACTACAATTAAAAATGAGTCAATCTATCAACATTTCTAGATATGATAAAGTTTCACGTGGTTGCTCATCTGGTATCTCGACGCACCGAAGTAAGGAGGATCGAGACAGAGAGGACACTTATATCGTCCCCCGTAATGTTTGACCCATATGTGATCTATTACTGCCACTCGCTGCTGGATAATGGACGCACACCATCTGCATGAAAAGGCAGGGCCACGTCGGCCATACTCCTTCTCCCAATTGATTTTGAAGTATTTAGGATGTGACGCTAAAAAATAATATTTTCCCACCCGAATCCGGTGGTCCTCCTGCAGGCGTTGTGGAGACCATACGGATTCATCATCCGATAGTTCTATTAGAGTCTGCCCAGGCTGATTTGAACTTAACGAGGGATAAACATTCTCGGCTGCTTGTGTTGCAGACGTTAAATCGCAGATCTCGGGGACTGGAGCTTCTGACGCCATTTGACATACTGTTTCTTCAGTTTCGTGAAGTCTTGACTTCAAGCACTCGGATGTTATATCAACCAGATGCTCTTGAGCACTGATTTCATCTCCTAATTCTTCAGAAACGGAAGACGCTTCGACCCCAGGACCTACACTTTCCACGGCATTTGTACGAATTTTTGAAATCACTTCATTCGCTAATAGTAATTTCCTCTCAAGTTTCTCAGCACCTGCCGCCTGAGGAAGAAGATCCTGTATCTCCTTCCGGAGATATATTTTCTCAGATTCTAGTTCCTCAATTTTGAGTTTTCCTTTCCGAATAGCAGCTTTCTTCAAGTAGATGTCTTTCTGCGATGGTGTGCATGTATTCAATAACTCCATCATCTGGTTTTTTACGTATTGCTTTAAAGCATCGTCTGTGGTTCGTTGAGCTATGACTTCTTCCAGTTGAGCGTTTTTATTCTGCAGTTCTAAGATTTTTTGTTGCATATTAGTTTCGTCTTTTGATATTTGTGATTTTGCAGCTGTCTGAGCTTCACGTGCCTCTCGAATAGACTTGGCTGTTTCTGACAGTTGGATTGTCAGGTCTTTTATCGTCTGCTTGGAAGACTCCACTCGATCCACCAGGATTCGTCGCTTCTCTTCGCAGAGATTTCTCCTTCTTTCACGAATCTGGTTGAGACGAGTGTTAGTTTGCTCCATGTGAGATAATGAGTTACGACTGTTCATGTCTTCTATTCGTAAATTTAGATCACATCCTCGAAGATGGAGGGTTATAGAGTTGGTCGTGTCTGATGATGTTCGAACTTTCTTAGCTAGTGCACCATCTTGACTTGGTGGAGAATCGTTAGTTTCACTTTCATTCATCTGAAAGTTTAATTACTACTGTGAACTGAGGGAAAAAACATTTTCTGGAATAAGTGCGTTTAAGGGGTTACGGAAGGCCGCCTTATCCTCGAAATTTTCAAACAAATTTCCTGTTCAAAATTATTGATATTATTTGAGCCCAAAGAACATTGACCTTCATCATCGCCTCCTGGAGATTAATGTGCTTTGATTTGCAAAAATATCTAAAACTTTCGACAGGAAATTTCTTCCAAAAATTTGGAAAATTAGCGGTATTCTGTTGCATCTTAAGGGGAGACTACTATGAGTTTTAAAAGTCGCGGGCTATTGGAATGCGATTTCTCATGCATTGAAGATCGATTATATGTATCTAAAAGTGAATAATTAGTGCAAAAAATTAATTGTTTATTGTTCGTTTGCCCCGCAAACGCTTGAAATATCAAAAATAGACCAGGGCCTCCAATTTTTAAGCTACAGAAGTTTCTTTTTTTTATATACCTTATATTGGATGTAATAAAACAGGTATGTTTTAAAAAAAAAAAAAAAAAAAAAT